TTACTACAAAATATTATCACCAATCTGAAATGGTATACAAAGAAAAATACAAATTACTTGTTTTGTAAAAATCCTGATTTATGGAAAATGAAAGTGAAAATGAACAATATTTGATTCTAGTTTCAACTATTGACATTTTAATGGGATTTGTATCCCCATAAAAAGCATCAGCAAAGGATATTAATAATTTAGGATAGTAAGCAGATGATTTTTTTTAAAAAAGTGGCACTCTAAATACATGGGGAATAAGTTTGCAATTACAGTGACCTATCTTGATACCAAGGATTCTATATAAACAACAATTAAATCAAGAAACCCATAAAGAGCAATACAATTTACAATTCTGGACACATGGCAAAGTAAAACAAAAGTCCACAAATATAAGATCTGTCAACTATTCGATCTTGATGGAATTTTGTACTGATTATGTTTTCTTTCTCTTTTTCTAACTGAGTTCAGGAGATCTGATAGAGAGATCCAGTTTCAAGGATTTTCCATTGTTCTTTTGTCCACAGGCATCAAGAGCATCACTAACTAGATAGTCCATATATGAAAGGGCTACCACATACATGAGACAAAACTTTGAGTCAAATAGGCTACTAAATTGTTCTCTCATCAGCACTCAGGAGTGGTGATGTTGTTTGAAGAAGGAGAGTGTTTTGTGTCAATAATTTTTCTTAAAGATCCCAAGAGAAGCTTGAAAAAGCATTGGGCCAAACTACAAGTAGAAACTGTACCTCGTATGTTTACTGCAGCACTACTTACAATAGCAAAGACTTGGAACCAACCCAAATGCCCATCAATGATATATGGATAAAGAAAATGTGGCACATATACACCATGGAATACGATGAAGCCATAAAAAAGGATGAGATCATATCCTTTGCAGGGACATGGATAAAACTGGAAGCCATCATTCTCAGCAAACTAACACAAGAACAAAAAACCAAACACCGCATGTTCTCACTCATAAGTGGGAGATAAACAGTGGAAACACATGGACACAGGGCGGGGAACATCACACACTGGGGCCTGTCAGAGGGTGGGGGTTAGGGGAGGGAGAGCATTAGGAGAAATACCTAATGTAGATGATGGGTTGATGGGTGCAGCAAACCACCATGGCACATGTATACCTATGTAACAAACCTGCACTTTCTGCACATGTATCCCAGAACTTAAAGCATAAAAAAAAAAAACAAAAAAAAAACAGTGTGCATCAAAGTAGCTCTACACACTTTACAAAAAGATGCTTAATTAGAAATAAACAGAAAAATCCTGTAAATAAGAAGGGAATACCACTCTATTTCTTTCTTTCCCTGCTCTTGGTCTCAGTAGCCTTCCTTTATCTGATCAATGTCTACTATATACTAGGCACTTTGGAATGTGCTGGGTAGAAAAATGACAGCTTTCCCCCTCCCAAAAATCTTCTCGAAGAGCATGGTTTAGCAAGAGTGGTTGACATTTATCAAATAGTAACACATGTATGTGATGACAAAGAACGCTATGTTATAGAAAAGTAGACAATTTTAGGAGAGTGTGTAAAGGGAGATCTGGTCAAATGCAGGCAACAGGGAAAAGCTTGCACAATGTCCAAGCCAAGATGTAAAGGATTATTAGATGACAACCAGGATATTACGAGTGGGTGGGTGTAGGTAAAAGGGTTTGAGACAGAGGACCAGCATGTTTAAAGCCCCATATAAGAGGGACATGCAGAACTGGAAAAAGCAAAAAGAGGCAGTATGACTGGTGTCCAAACAGCAAGGGAAGAGCATCTAGAAAAGAGGAGGTTGAGGCCAGACAAGCCAGATAGTGCCTTGTCACCCTTGTTGAGGATTTTGGTCTTTTTCAAAGAGCACTGAGAAAACTATTACAGTGTTAAGATAAGGACTGATATAATTGGATTTATGTTTTTTACACAGATTGTTCTGACTGAAATGTAGAAATTGCATTGTAGGGTGGCAAGAGTAGATTCAGAACGGTTAGGAGAAATGGTCTCTTATAACTATGATGATGACAATAGTAGACAGTCAAGAACAATTTTGAAGGTAAATTGGCTGGGCGCGGTGGCTTACGCCTGTAATCCCAGCACTTTGGGAGGCCAAGGCAGGCAGATCACGAGGTCAAGAGATCGAGACCATCTGGCCAACATGGTGAAACCCTGTCTCTACTAAAAATAAAAATTATCTGGCATGGGTGGCGCGTGCCTGTAAATACCCCATGCCTAGCTCCGGGAGGCTGAGGGCAGGAGAATCGCTTGAACCCAGGAGGTGGAGGTTGCAGCGAGCTGAGATCATGCCATTGCACTCCAGCCTGGTGACAGAGCAAGACTCCATTCCCCCACCGCAAAAAAAAAAAAAAAAAAAAAAAAATTGACCCAGCAATGTCTTGGTAGTGGAAGGCTGAAGGTTGGTCATCTGGAAAAGGTACTGTATCAGTCCACCACACAGTTGTCTGGTATGAGAAAATATTTAGATATTTATTTAGAGTCTTGGAATATTTAGCTAGAGTTTTGGAGTTTTGTAGATTGCAGCAACAAAAAAATAAAGAAGCAAAGTTTCTGGAGTTTTGAAAACAAGTTATTAAAATTTAGATGATTGATTCTAAGTTGTACTTGGAAGGAGGTAAGTATGGAAGGTCAGAGGAACTAATGTATAAAACACAGAGTAATCAATGGCCTGGAAGTCTTGTGAAATTCAAGAAAGGTAACAGGGAGCTATCTGAGCAAGCACACTAACCAAGTGGGGATGGATTAACTTCATTCTGGTCAGTATCACTCATAATTCCAGCATCACCATCTCCCCAAGTCATGTTATTTGTCATGAGATTCCTGAGTAAGAACTGAGTAAGTACAAACATTTTACCACTCTTAACAAGTAACCAAAACTAATAACTAGGAATAGTGAAGCAGTATTTATAACAAAATACCAGCTGGAAGAAACCACAGCAATTATTTGGACCGATTTCCTCATATTACAGTTGAAGAACAAAATAGCAATCAAAATCCATCTTATGAAGAAATATGACTAGAATCTCAGTCTCCTGACTCCTAGTGCACCTGTCCAATGATTCATTTTCTTTGGTTTCTGGAACTAGCATAAAATTTATCTTTTGTAGAAATTCTGTCTCATTTCACTATATCGCATAAGGCATTTTTTTTTTTTTAAAGGCCCATCCTTCTCAGTGAGTGCTTTTCTATATGTACACCAGAGTGTTTTGGCTGTTCATTCAAAGTCAGAACATTTAAAACACATAGCACCATTACATTTCACCCTCCCACAAAAACTAATTTAATATTCAGAAATATATGAAGGCAAATGGCTAAAGGAGAAACTGGCAGTTTTCCTGGCATTTTTTGCAAAGATCCCTGGGTCTTCTTTCATGTTCTCTTCCATTTTTATAATTTCCTATATCATCTTCTCCAGAATAATATAAACCCTTGATCTTTCCTCAAGATGCCACCTTTGGCTTTATCTCCACAGAGATCTTTCCTTTACATGCTCGACATACAAAAGTGGCACCATTTTTTCAAGTTTTTATTATTTGGTGGTAATTTGTTTGGTTTGCTATTCATTTCTGTTCTTGTACCTTTTATTCCCATTTCCAAAACACTTATCAGTATCCATTCTACACCAGACACTTTGCTAGGCTCTAGGGTCTTAGAGGTGAACAAGACAAAATCTCTGCCTTTTTCACTCAGAGCTTAGTAGAGAAGATAGAAATGTAAGTAAAAATAAAACAAAACAAAACAAAACAAAAAGAAATTATTGGTCATCGTTGGAGGATGCTAGTGAACAACTTGTTATTATAAAAATTGGTAAAATTGAAACATGTGTTTTGCTTGTTCATTATGAAAGGTATACTGAGTACCAAAACAGGAGACAAGTGCAAAACATTTTTTTTTTCATAGACCTACCCCAGTGAATAAATGAAGAAGGAATGGTAGAGATAGGCAATTATCACACTGCAACCCCTAGCCACAGATCATGAACAGCTATTAAACATCACACAAAAAGAGAAAACAAGGCATTATATACCCACTCCTGATGATGGAAGAATACACGAACGCCTGTGAAGTAGTCTTGCCAAAAAAAAAAACCAAACCCAAATACGATCAAACTATAGAACTGCACTGTTTAATTGGTAGCTACTGGCAACATCTGGCTACTGAGTACTTCGAATGTAATAAGCCTGAATTGAGACGTGCTGTAAATGTACATTTTTTATATTGATTGCATGTTGAAATGACAATAAGAATTATACTACAGTTGCATGACATACAACGATGAGAAGAAACAGGGTGAAAGGTACAGGGAAACTATACTATTTTAGAAACTTACAGTGAATCTGTCATTACTCCCAAATAAAAAGTAATAAAAAGACCAATTAACCAAAGTAAGGTGTGGGTCTGATTTCAATTTTTATTTAAATCCAAACCAGAAAAAGTTTAAAAAATTCATAATATGTATGAGAGAAATGGAAATTTGAATATGGACTGGATATTTGATATGATGAAATTATTGATATTTCAAAAGCATTATAGTAGCAAGGTGATTATCTTAAAAGAGTGAATCCTATCTTTTAACCTTTTGAAATATTAACAAATAAAATAACACATGCCTGATATTTGTTTTAAAATAATCTGGGAAGAGCTATAGAATAAATAAGATCTGATGTGATTTGATAATTGTTGATGTCTTGATGGGTACATGAGTTTTATTATAGCATTCTGTCTACTTTTGCATATGTTCAATATTTTTCATAATGAAAAGTTTTTTTTTATATAGTCAAAAGAGATGGACGATTTCTTGAACGGTATTATTAACACAGATGTGTTTGACATTTAAAATATAATGGCTTGAATTATTTGTAATTGACCCTTGGGTGAGAAGAGTAAAAAAGATTTCTATTCAACTTAATTTCAAACAAAATTAATTTTAAATTAGTCACTGGATTACTATGTGCTTAACATGTGCAAAGCACTAGGCTTAAAAATGTCCTACCCTATGTACATCGTTCTGCTTCTGAACCGCTGGAAAGTCGCCTCCAATAGGTGTCTGCCGGCTTAATTCATCATCTTTCAGCTGTAGCCACACCAGAAGTTCCTGTAGAGAAAGGTGCAGACGCTTCCACTGGTCAGAACTGGCTTCCAAATGGGACCTGAAAAAGAACAGCAGCATACTATGTCAGAATATCTAGAAGTATAATAGATGATTCTAACAATTCCATTAAAAAAGTACAGTAAACCTATTGTGAACTACAAAGCAGTTTTGAATAAAAATCTGGCTACTTACTTTTGAGAGCCATAAAACAGGGGATAGTTTGATGGCAATTTTGAGAAAAGGCAGTGTTTAGCCATATGTTTATTTCCACATGCAGAATGCTGAGACTTTTGGCATGGAATATGCACTGGAATCGATTGCTTTTCCACAGTGTTATAGTCAGTGATTCTTAATATTTCTGGTAGAAAAAACTGGATGCAGTGACTAATAAAAAACACTTCGTTTTCATGTGACTCATGCTAGTACTGGGATTCTTTCTGCCTTGAGAAATGGAAAGGTCTCTCCCCACATTTTGACTTTTCCATTTCTACACCCTAGGCAGCCTTTTCCATTGAGTTCTTCCATCTGGCGTCTGTTCCTTTCTGCTCCTCTTCCCAAATGCTTCTCCTTTTCCCCTACCCTTCTTTATTTGTGTGCACCTGGGATTTGTCTTCACCAAGTTTCAACATTTCCTGCTTTGTTTCCTTTGTGTAAAAAATACTAAGACAACAACTCACATGGAAGAGTAAAATCAGACATTTATCTGAAAGCTTCCCCCGAACATGAATAATTTAGGCAGGAGACTGAGTGCTTTACCGTCAACTGTATTTAGAACATGTTAATCCTTTGAAGCCATTTAAGAATACATAAATGAATGATCTATGCTATAAAATCCACATTTTACTTGAAGATGAGAAGCTAAATTAATAAAATAAATCATCATCCAGAAAACAAAGAGGAAACGCAGCATCTTAGCAAAGCTCTATCTTCAGGTAAATTAGAAATTATGCTGAATCACTCAGCTATTAGCAGCAATTACTAATTAATTCATAATAATGCTACCTATAACATAAATATAATAAAGTCTTTAATGCTGCAAAGATTGAAATATAAAGCAAAGCAACCAGGTAGAGCAACATTTCCCTTAGCCATTTGGTAACTTAGCTTGACATTTCAAATACAATTCTCCTTTTGGCCTTAGTCAAACAGAATCACCAAAGAATACTTATCTACTGAAATTAAATTGTTCCAAACTTTCTGAAGGATAATTTGACAATACATAAAAGTCTTTAAAATGTGCAAATACAATGACCCACAGGCTTAAATTCAAGGAATTTATACTAACAAAGAAATTGGAAAAAGATACAAAGATATAGGTGGAAAAATGTTATATATAGCATCATTTAAGATTGATAAAACAGAAACAACTTAAATATTCAATATGAGGGAATTGCTTGAGAAATGCAAAACCGCTACCTACTGATTGTTTTCAAATGCAATGAAACTTGTATATGCTTTAAATTTAGAAATTAATGAAATTTATATATGAATTTAATTAAGTAGCTCTTAATTTAAAAGGGAATTATTATATATATAATGGTACATTCATACAGTAAAATCCTATGCAAGGTTCAATATGATGACATAGTCAAATATTTATGGATATGGAAAAGTCATCATGTCAGTTACTAAGTGAGAAAGGTTACAAAACAAATACATTTTTTGAATTTTTCTAAAATATTTGTGTATGTGTATGTATTTGTATGTACATGCTTGTCTATGAAAAAATTTTGTAATGACAACCAGGTTATCCCTCAGAGGTAGATTTACAGGTGATTTATTTCTTAATCTTTATACTTTTCCAAATTGTCAAGATTTTCTTTCTATAATTGCAATATAAACAATATGTTCAGAAAAAATGAAGGCATTTCCATCAAATAAGATAAATTGTTCAAGACTCTGAGGTATTATTTCCTAAGAAGTGAATCGTGAAATACCATAAATGTCGTGAATTGAATCTAATAGTGCATGCAGATTGCATGCAATTAGAGGTCAGTTCTTTTATGTTTCTGTACCATCCTTTCAGTTATCATTTTTCCATGATAAGCCTAAGCGACAATTCCCTATGCAAGATTTTAGCTGTTTAAAGGCATGTAATGTATAATGGTTAAATGAATTCCTTGGGGCGTCTGGAATTCAGTGTGGTCCCTTTGAGAGTGAAAGAGGCTGTCAAGCAGGACATTTTGAAAGGTAGGTGGAGAGAGGTAGGGCTCAGACATGGAAAAGCAGCAAAAGGTAGAAAAGACACTGATTAAACAAATATTTATTGACTGCCTCTAAGTCTCTAGGATGCATTGGGGAGGAGGGAGAGAGGAAGGGAAGAGAGAATATAACGATGCTTAATGTTTGGTCTCTGTATGCCTGGTAGAGGAAACAAAAAATCGTTGTGGCAGAGAGGTCTAGAGGAGGATATAGTGAAGGGCAGGCTGCCTATGTTGAGACCTCAAGCTGCGGCTTTGTTTACGTAAGGAAGTGCTAAAATTCCAGTTCTAGGTTAAATGGTGCTGACTAATTATTAGTGGGTCAATGAACCCCTTTGCATCCCCTAAGCGAGAGCAAAATAACTGAGACCTTAGGAATTCAGTTCTCTGTCTCTCTCTTTTTTTTTTTTCTTTGAGACAGAGTCTTGATCTGTCACCCAGGCTGGAGTGCAATGGCACGATCTTGGTTCACTGCAACCTCCACCTCCCGGGTTCAAGCAATTCTCTCCTGCATCCGCCTCCCAAGTGGCTGGGATTACAGGCACCCACCACCACACCCAACTATTTTTTGGTATTTTTAGTAGAGATGGGTTTCGCCATGTTGGCCAGGCTGGTCTCGAACTCTTGACCTCAGGTGATCCACCTGCCTCAGCCTCCCAAAATGTTGGGATTAGAGGCATAAGCCACCGCACCCAGCCAGGAATTCAGTTCTAAAGGATCTAAGAGAAAACTTAATAGCGTGAAATAGGGGTTGTTGGAAGCCAGGGACAGAGGACAGTCAAGAGAGCTAATATAGCAGCAGAAGACGGACCTAGAACCTTAAAAGGTGAAAAGCTCTCACATATCTGGATAAGGGGCCATTCTTTAATTTTTTTCTAAGGTGTGGAGTTAGATAAAATTTCAGAATGTTTGATCATCTTAACTACATATCAGATTGCTTCATTTTTTCCCTCTCCTAAAGCTCAAGAGTGAAAGGAAAAATGTGCTGGGAGGACAAAAGCTGAAGCAAAATCTTATAAAGCACAGAGAACACTGAGTAAGCACGGAAGAGGTGAAAGGCAGCCAGAGAATGAATTAAAACAGCATACACAAATGTGTTCAATCTAACGCTCTGGGTCTCAATCTCTAGCGTGCATAGGAAACATTTGAGTAGCTTGTTTAAAATCGAGATTGCTAGGTGCCACCTCCAGACTTTCTATAATTCTATCAAAAATCTCTGCTCTTAACAAGAACCTTCACAATTCCACAGGTAAGCTCCAGAACCATTCTTTGATAAAGAATTTATTAAAGCATTTCTGATATGCCCCAAACATTACTTCTTGGTCTCCACAGGGCAAAGGTGGCATCTGTCAGTGACTTGATTTTGAAGATCTAAATGTAAGGAACATTATGAGCTCAAAACATTTTCTTTGACCATGTTAAGCCCGTGAAATGTTATCAAGTCACATTTCCCAATAGATTTATTAAAACAAATGCCTCATGCCCTATTTTTATTTTCACGAGTGTATATACCAGATATTTCGAAATGATTAACCTATGTTTGCATGTGGAATATCTCCTCCTGAAAATGTTTCTTTGTATTTGTAATGACTTTTTTTTCTGGTTATATCATATATAGGCTGTTGGGGCTGGAAGGAACCTGAGAGATTATAGTTCAACCTTCTTGTTTTGCATATGTAGAAATCAAGATTGCAAAGGTATAAAACAGCTGCTGAAAAACATAACTTGAGCTGTCCTATTTAGATATGGGAAATGGAAATTACAAACCTTTGTGAGATGAGAAAATCCTTAAACCTTAGTGGTTTTAACCAAATGTTTTAGATCTCTGAGCAAAAAGGCTTGTTGCTGTTAAATTAAATTAAATTGGGCCTAAAGCTGCCCCTGTACATAGCAAACTGCAACCCAGCTTGGCATGTAAGCAATACGCAACTTAAGAGTACATTCTTGTAACAAAGAGCTGAGTCTCAGCCAATCCCAGCAGTCAAGATTCAGCTAATCACAGGCTGTAAACTGATCAGCTCATGTCCATATAAGGCAAATGCCTATTTACACTATTCCCAAGTAAGCCAAATTCTAAGCTGTAACTAGTCAAGCTGTTTCTGTATGTCACTTCCTTTTTCTATCTATAAATACTGCCTGCCCACCTTGCTGGGTGGAGCTTTCTGAACTTCTAATTCTGAGTACTGTCTGATTCATGAATTGTTTTTTGCTCAAATAAACTCTGCAAAACTGAATTTGTCTAAAGTTTGTCTTTTAACATTGCTAATTGTCAAATATATTCTGTTTATTCCTACCCACTCAACAGAAAATAAAAGAGGTGTTTCAAAGGGGCATACTTAGCTTCTATCTATTTCTATTAATCTTTATTAGTGAAGACAAGAGCTTAGGGGTTACTACCATTTAACAAGGCAAGTGCTAATCTCTAAAAAGCTGATAGTTTCCACAGTTTGTAAGGTTTAGGTAAAACACAGAGCCTTTAGATGTGTTGGAGTATATTGCTTGGTCTTTAAGGAACTCCTCAGTGTCAGGACGCTAAGAATTATAGGGGCTGATAAAGTGATTGTTATTTCTCTAGACACAGATATTTCAACTGTGATTTGGTTAATGCCTAGTTTGAAATCCTTAATAAAACTTTACTCTGAAAGGCATGCATTCTTAAAGTGAAATGTGTTATATTGAATTCATTTTTCACTTTGACTTCCTTTATAAAACTAATGATATATCCCTATAAATCTTTAGTACCCTCATGTAATAAAATAGCACTTAAGCATGCATAAAGAAAAGGTAGGAATGCAGAAATGATAAAGAACCACAATACTGCCATAAAAACAGACACAAAGACCCATGGAAAAGACTA